TGCTATAAGAGTTTCGAGAGCTCGTTCGCAGACTCTCGGTCCATCTTCATCTTTTTGCGATCTATGTCCGCTCGTGCGTCGGTGACAGGGTTCCTCAGCTTGTGCTCCGCTAGACAGCACATTCGCGACTCCTTCTGATTTCCCCAGATCGTTTTGATGCCTGCTGGAGTCGGAAATCTGAGGCAGAGGTGATAGGTGGAAGGGACCGCCCTCATCGCGTTGATCCATGGAGTTCCCATAATCACATTGTAGATTGCTGGGTAATCAGTGATGCAGAATTTGACGATCCTAGTAACTCCGCCAGCTACCACAGGGAGCCTAATTGTTCCCATAGTCATCGTTGTTTCTCCTGAAAATCCGGTTAGAGGTTTGGGGATCGCTGTCACCTCGGAGAGATCGATTCCCATCCTTCTGAGCGTTTCCCTGAAAATGACGTCTACCGAGCTCCCACTATCGATGAGCACCCTCGCTACATCGTGATCCCTGATCGTCAATTCGATCACCAATGGATCGTTGTGTGGTCTGTCGATTCCTGCCGTTTCCTCCTCGGCGAAGGAGATCACTGTATTTGGGAGGTCGGTTGGTTCTGTCCAATTTTCCTTCGCTCAGCTCGGCGCTGATAAGCTTTGTCTTGGTAATATTGAGATCCACCCATGATCATGTTGATCCTTTGCCTCGGCTCGGGTCGCTCTTCGGGTTCGCCACTCCTGTCACGCTTGGTGTTATCGCCTCGTCGGGGAGGATTTGCGGGTTCTGCCGTGCCCCTCGGCTCGGCTCCTTCTTTTGGTTTATTAGGGACGAGAGTCTTTGAGGTTAACCGCTTTCTAAAGCTCTCCCGCCGCCATCTTAGCTGCGAGTTTTTCTCCTAGAGTTTGGCATTGTGCCGTTGAATGCCCGTAGGTCTGGTGATACTCGCAGAATGCCTTTTCGTCGTAGTTGGTGGGCTTTCTTACCCAAGTGTTGTTGCGCGGCTCTCCTCTTCCGCGTCCAGTGCCTACTTGGTAGTTGTGGGCACCTCCGCTTCTAGGTTCGTCCGAGCTTGGCGTTGTTTTGTTGTTTGGTGGATTGCCTTTCCTCGAGGGGCGCGGCAAAATCAAGCTTCGGATTGCTGCTTTCGTTGCTTCGTACTGCTCGTCCAAATTCTTCATCTCTTCCTCGTTTACGACGAAGTCTGATGACCGATGCAAGGCATCTTGAATCGTTTGTGGCGTGTTGAGTGCCATTTCCCGTCAGAATTCGGATTTGTACCACAAAGACCGTTTCAGAGCTTCGAGTGCAGCCTTGTCGCTTATTCCTTCTATTTTGGATACGAACGCCTTGGACCTCGCCATGTAATCCCGAAGCGGTTCGTTCGGTCCTTGGGATAGCGTCCACAGGTTGACATCAGACGTTCCCTTATCCATAAACATCGAGTATTGTTTAAGGAACAAGGCTGAGAGCTGTTGGAAACTGCCGATCGAATTGCGCTCCTGCCTCGAAAACCACTCGAGCGCGGCTCCCTTGAGATGTTCCACGAAGAGCAAGCAATATCCGACATCTACTTCCCGCTCGGTCAGTTTGGCAGCGTTCTTTGTGAAAGCTCGTCCCATTGCTATCCGAAACGCTGTGATGTGTGCTTTCGGATCGGTCGTTCCTTCGTAAAACGGGATTCTCACCTTTCCGGGCTCGGAAATCCTAGCCTCCGTGATTCTCGCCGTGAATGTGTTCTCTGGGTTTCTTCAAGCATCCGATCGATCTTGGGCGCAGCACTCGTCGCGTTATACACTTGATACTTCATGGCGCGTATCTCGGCTACTGTCCGAGCCATTGAGGCTCACAGTTCTTAGATTTCGAGGGTTTGTGCGTGAGTCATTCCCTTTGATTGGGGAGGTCACTCTCACTCTTCTCTCCTCGGCTCGTCTTCGCGCTCCGCCTGCTCGATCCATTGGAGGTTTTCTTCTTCTTCAGTCGGGTTGTCGCCGCGAGCCTGATCGGTGATTTCATCAGTCCGGACGCCGTTTAATGCCGAGGTGAGCTCTTCTTGGCTTATTCGCCGAGCCGAGCCGTTTTGTTGCGAGTTCGTGGTTTCATTGTCTGTTGGGCGTCCACGTCGATCACGTTATTCTCCTCTTCGCCGGCTCGTCGCCTTGAGTTCCGACGGAGTGGAGGCGGCTCGGTCATGTTGACTCGGGTTGCCGCAGTAGTCTGTTCGCCGAGGGGACGAAACATTGGTGGAGCCAAGGGGTTACTTACGCCGCTCCCTGAGGCCTCTGCAGGTGTTGAGAAATCGAAGCGTCTCCGTATTCCATCCATCGGATCGGAGATTTTGGCTCTCTAAGTTGGGTGTCGTCGCTCAGCCGTCATTGTGTCGAGCCTCTCTGTAATCGTCTCGTTTCTTTTGTCCTGCTCGTCGATCTTCTTCATCAACGCAGCCATCATGTTTCGCATCTCCTCTTCGGTTTCGGTCGTCGCCGTCGTTGTGCCTGATGCCAGAGCGTCCTTTTCCGCGCCGTTATCGTTGTTGTTGTTGTTGTTGTTATCGTCGGGGGTGTTGCTCGCCATGTTCTTCAGATATTAAAGTCTTGTCGATTTTAGAGTAAGAAAGTTTCGATTCCCCACGGCCGGCGCCAAATTGTGTGAGCTATAACTCGCACAACCAAAAATTTGTAAGGAAAAACTAAGGGATCCGAAATTTCTAGGGTAATCGCAAGAACAGTAAGATCGAAAGAAGGTTTTGTTTGCTGTGAAAGTGTTTAGGTCTTATTGCTCTCGAGTTGTGAAATGTTACCGAATGAATTGCATACATTGTCTATTTATACTAACTTTCTAAACCGCTTAGCCGAGAATCTCTGGAGAGATTTTAGGAATATTTCCCTATCGCTTCATGCGGCCACCACCTCTAAGCATCGCCTAGGGTTTTTATGGGCTTTCTTTCTTCAAGACTTCGGTTCGGCCCATCTCGAAAGGTAACGGCTCGGCCCACTCTCCTTCTTGCACGGCTCGGCCCATCTTCACTGGTGTGCGGCTCAGCCCATCTTCTCTCATACGCGGTTCGGCCCACTCTTCGTTGTTCTCACGGCTCGGCCTATCTATCCTTTTCCACGGCTTGGCCCACTCGTCTTGGTGAGCACGGCTCGGCCCACTTGTTTCGTGGGTTGGCTCGCTTCGTATCTGGCGGGCAGCTGTTCCTTCTTGCCTAATTGGTTTTCTCCGGTACTTGGTCATTTTCGAGATGGTTTTATCTGATTGGGGTGAAACCGACCCCAACAATCTCCCTTTCGATAAAATCCGCCAGCTCGCGCATTCGTAAAAAAAAGGAGTCTCGGCAAAACGAGTTGCAACATTATTCAACGATAGTAGTCCCACCGAGCCACACTAACACTTCGGTGAATTCGATCAGCTTGGTAGCATTAGTCGAATCTCTCTCTCGCCTCGCTTCCGCAAGTTAAGTCAGGTCGACAACTTTTGCTTCATCAATCTCCGCTATGCCTCGGCTCGGCAATTCGAGCGACAGCGCTCTTCGCTACCTCGGCTCGGCAACTTTAGTTGTATAGCTCTTTTCGCTTCGGCTCAACAATTCACTTCGGCAATTCACCTTATTGATTCACTCGGCGATTCTATGGAATCGCATCGAGCCGATCAATCTCGGCTCGGTAAAAGCAGAACCCGCATCTCATCTCAGCTCGTCTAACGTCCCCCAGGCGCTCTTTTGGCTCTGCCAAGAAAAAAAAAATGAACAAACAAAACTAATAACCGAGCCGAGCCAAAAATTTCGACAAGGGGATTTATCGCGTGATCCGGTAGTTAACCTCGTTTTCGCTAATTTCAACTCGGCATCTTCGTATACGAAACTGACGAGCTGGGGGGCAAACTGTTGGGGTCGGTATTCACCCAAACGAGTTTAACTGCCTAAAAAAGACTAAGTGTCGAAATTTGTTTTCGGAAAGCCCAATTCTACGATTTACCGAAGGAAGGATCGAACCATAACGCAACCAACACAGTAAACCAAGCCAAACCAAATACCATTCCAGACCGAGCCAAATCAAAGGCTCGATTTGACTGAGCCAAACTAGGGAAGTCGAAGAACCGAACCGAGCCGGTCTTGGTTCGGAAGGTTTCCTGCGTACCTGAGCCAAGGAATCACCCGTAAATGAGAAGTAGATTGGGTCGAAAGAGAAAGAGAATGGGCCGAGCCGAAGGGTTGAAACTGCTAATGGGCGGAACCAAATAGTCGCAAAGGCCTGATGAACGAGCCCAAGAGATTTTACCCTAGGAGATAACGGAGTCGTCAGCCACACAAAAGAAAAGGAAGATTTCCGAGAATCTCGGCTAGGCGGTTTGTAGACTTAGTATAAATAGTCGATGTAATTCTTTCATTATGTAACTTTCACGCAATCACAGAAACCCTAAGCAATAAAACTACTTTTCGATCTTTGTTCTTGAGATTTTCACTTAGAAGCTTTAGATCCTTCTTTTTCCTTAACAAATTTTGATTGTGCGAGTTTCGACTCACACAAAAGGCTTGTACACATGTGTTCTCTCCGATTGCGTTATCTCCAATCTCAGAACTCCAGATCGGGTGGTCTCAAGCGTTCTAGAAATAAGACTCGAAGATCTTGAATCGTCTGGAATGGCATCGTCCGGAGTAATCTTTGAAGCACATTGGATCAGTCTGGAATCGAAGGGAGACAGGCATGTCTTTTGATGGCTATAACTCTCAGCTCAGAATTCAATAATTTTAACTGTTCTGGAATCATGAAACAATCCCCTCCAACTTTCATGAAGACCCCAGAAGCTGAATCGGAGGGCAAGGCTCCTCGGACGAGTGATCTTTGGCGCGCATCGGAACAACAGGTTTTAGCCGAGGGCTCATGTACCGCGGTAAGGAAAATGGCCGAGAGTTTGTTCCCCCTGTAAGCTTTTTAGCAGATAAAACTGAACTTCCTCTTCATAAAACTTTAGCCGATACTCTCTCAACCTGGTACAGCATTTGGCCGATAAAAGTTCACTCGGTAAGGATTTTAGCCGGTGTTTTGCTTCCTGCGGTGCATGGTTTTGCCGATGGACTCCGAATCTTGGTTTTCACCACTTTGATCTTTTAAACTCCATTTCTTCACCTGGTTCACTCTATCCACTCCAAGTATCTTCCAAAAGCACCTAAAAGACACTCCAAAAATGCAAAGATTCACTTGGACCTAATGCAAACCCCTAAGTCCTAAAGCAATACCTAAAGACCTAAAATGCATGAAATAAGGCATGCTTTGGACTAAAACATGCAAGCTAAATGAGGCATTTTATGAACATATCAACTCTCCCACACTTGTCCTTTGCTTTTCCTCAAGCAAAAATAACAATTGAGAGAGAGAGAGAGAGATTGAATGCTTGGGAGTTCATATTTCCTATGGGAAGAGAGAAGTAACCACAGAAATAATTCAAATTCAGGGTCCAAATTGCTAATTCTAAAATGCAATGCAAGACTTTACTTTGATGCATCAAACTCAACAATTATCTCCACAAGCTTTCTTATTCCTCAGCTCTTAAACATTCATTAGGCTCTTTACCACGTGAATCAAGTGATGCATGTTCAAACAAGCAAAGTTTGGCTAAGGGTGAGGTTATGAGACTAAAATGATATCATCAATGCTTAAGTGGGTTCAATGCAGCAAAGGGATCTCTCTTTGAATGATCAAACTTTGGCAGAAGGCTAAAGGTAAAAAGCTACTGATGCATACAAGGGCAAGAACTCATCTCACCCCCCATTACCTAAAATGCCTCTAACCCAAAGTCTCACACTTGTTCCACCCTCTCATGAGTCTCACACCTCTCTTCTCACTCATTTTTCTCTCACTAGGGGATTCACTTTTCAGTTCCACACTCTAGTTTTGGGGTCCAAAATTTACACTTAGCTCTTCTTACTTGCACTATCTAGCCTCCCTTCTTTTCTGTTTAAGCACTTGAGCCTTTTTTGCTTCTTTTTTTTTTTCTTTTTTCATGTAGAGGCTAGATCTTTTTCTTTTTAAACACAAGAGCTTTCTTTCTTGAACAACAAACCTCAAAACCGATTTCTTTTCTTTTCCATCCCCTAGTTCTCACCACTCTCTACTTTCCACACATCTCTCTTTTAAACTCTCACCAACAGACCATTCCCCCACACTTAATTCTTGCCAAAACCTCTTAGTTCCTTGATGATGGAACTAAACACCATGAGGCTTACACTTGTCGCTCTAAACCTGACACTTTCTGCTAATATTGATCCAAGGTGGCCTCTCAACACTCACAAACATTTGGCTTGAAGGAAGGTTGGGTTCAGGGTGTGGAAACTGATCCAAAGTGTGGAATCAGCTATTTGAGCTAAGGAAAAGAGTGGTAAAAAATGGGTTTCTAGCTCAAATATGCAGAAGTACCCACAAACTTATTCAAACAATGCATCACAAGATATTTCCAAATCAAGTTTAAGGTTTTCTCTTGCTAGAGCTGAGTTCAATTCAAAACTTATATCACTGATCCAAATCGTTTCACGTCTTGCAAGCATAAAAGAACTAACAACTTGGGCCATGAACTTAATTCTCAAAGTGATGTTCTCTCAAGGAAAAAATCTATCATTACTCCTATGGAATGGTGCAACCTATATGATTATGCAACTGGACTTAATCCTAAAAATGTGAATGCAACTAAATGAACATTTTTTTGTGACAATTTTTCAGATTTTTCAGATTATTTGACTATTTTTTTTTTTGTTTTTCTATGCACTTAGATGCCAATGCATGAATGAATGAGACTCAAGACTCAAAATGGAATATAAGATCAAAGAAAGCATGATTAGCAAACATAAAACTCTTCCCCCACAATTAAATAACACAGTCCCTGCGTTATAAAAATATGAGAGAGGAGTGCAAAGCAAAACAAGAAAAATTCAAAGTGAAAGATAAAGACTGCATGCATATATACAAAGGTTTGAAGGTGGTAACTAATCACTGAGGTTAGACCCCACATATTATGAAGGGTTGGAGGTGGAACATGATGGAGATGGCTCCATTGGTGGGCTTCTTTCTGGTGACTCAGGGAGAAAGGCTGTTGCTGGATCAATCCAAGCTTCTTTACCAGGTGGCAACTCAGGTGCACAAGCTGTGGAACTCTCTCTCCTATATCTTCTCTTTGAACCGGTGCTCGAGATGTTTCCGAGTTCTTCTCTGGTGAGGCAGGTGCTGTGAGCTTCTTGACCTTCTTCTTAAGATGCCTCACACACCTGACAAGCTTGTGGATTGTCTTGTCCTGCCACTTACACCACTGCTGAAGACCATTAACTCTGCTGTTGATCTTGCGTGTGTGATAATCAGGTGAACCCCAAACATATGGGTCAAAGTGGTATCGGTTTTCACCCATTCTTCTCGGTGGAACTTGGGTTTCATCACCATCAGACTCAGCAGCTGGAGGCTCATCATGGAGCTTACTTGATTCATCTTTCTCTTCCTTTTTGCACTTGAGAAGTGGAGGATCCCTTGATGGGTTATAGATCTGGTCCTTAAGGAGGATGAAAGAGACATTACATCTCTCTTGGAGTGAACTGATCGCTCTGTTGGGCAAGAGGACTTGCACATTCTCTTCCTGAAGTAGCTTGAAGTTGTAAGCCCAGCTGTTGTCAACTTTTTCCTCAAAGGAAACACTTTTGCTTAGATATCCTTCATCAATCAGCTGTGGCTTAGCTTTAGTCTCAGAAAACTCAAATCCTTTTGCCCTCAGGATCTTCGTCACAAGCCATCCATTTTGCAGTCTCCTAAGCCCTCTCTTTCTCCTGTCACACCACACATTCTCTCTGTACACAAGCATTTGAATTGACAAGAAGGCGCCAAGAGAGGGGATTTGGTAAGGATCATCAAACTCATTCTTGTTCTTGGCGTGGGTGATGAATGGTTTTAAACCCTAAAAGCTCCATCTCATGCAAGTGAATCACTCCAGGGTTGTAGGTGGTGAAGAACATGCACGCCAAAACTCTGTTTTCATATCTGATCGCCGGATTCTTAATCCTGCTGGTCTTGCTCTTTCCTCCTACATAAGCCCCAAATGCAATAGTGTCCCATAAAGCTTCAATCTCCTTCTTTGGGTACCCAAAATTCTCATAATAACTTCCACCTTTAGTGAAACCAAAGATCTCATCAACCTCTCTAAACCCCACTTCATAGTACTCCACTCCATTGATCATAAACTCCATGTGACCAAATCCTTTTCCTTGAGGTCTCTTTGGGTATCTCTTCCCATAGATTTACACCTCTAGGGAAGCAAGGAACTGCTGTGTGATACCATCATGAACCACCTCTCTCATCTCAAAGAATGCTTCCATACCCATATTCTGAAAAATGAGCTTTACATCCTCAACAATCCACAGCTTGCTCAACAACTCCTCATCAGGAAATCTTCCTTGAGCCACTTTTGCCTTGTTGAATTGATGCATGTATTCCTCCACAGTGAGCAGACACTGTTCTTGCTTCTCAGCCTTTTTTGTCTTTCTTCTTGGCTTCTTGAGCACCTTTAGGAGCCGGTTCAAGAGTTAGCTCTCTCTCAGCATCACTTTCTGTGTTTTCGTCATCAGAAGCTATAGCCACTTGATTTCCCTTGCCTTTTGGATCAGGTACAACAACAAGGGCAAGCTCAGTGTTCTTTTCCCTCTTTGCAGCCGGCTCACCATCACTTTTCTTGGTGACCTTTTTGTTGGTCTTGCTTGTTCTACCAGGCTTTTCTGAGGCCTTACTGTACCCTTGTTCTCCTTCTTCTGAACCTCCTTCTTTTGGGCCAAGGCAGCTGTTATTTCTGTCATCTGCAAGAGACTTCTCAAACACAGAATGAGCACCAAGTAAAATCCACCAAAAACATGTTCATGTGAAATTTCAAGAACATAGTTCTCTCAAAAATTCATGGCACAATGATTTCTCAAGCCAAGAATGATCAAGAAATTATTTTTAACAATGCTAAACACTATGTAAAGCAATCAACTCAACCAAGAAACCATCTTGCCATTAAAATCGATTTTAAGGTGCCATTTCTCAAGAATTTTTAAAACTCAAGAACAGGTGAATTTCAATGCAAGAACCAGTTTTTCCTGTGTTGTCTATCCTGTTAGAATTTCTAAAATTGTTCCCAAGGCATCTAACAACCTAAAAGAATCGATTCTACACAGAGCAAACTCAATATCGCCATTAACGAACATGGAAAAAGGTGAGTTCTTTCGGACAAAATACCTTGAGATACACAGGATTCGAGATAAATGCGATGAGAATGCAGGATAGACAACTTCAACACGAGCTCAATGAACTTTGAATCACTAAGTTTGAGTGAGAAATGAGAGAGTTATGGTCTTTCTATGTGCAGAGAAGGGAAAAGAGAGCAAACTCGGGTTTATGGCTGAAAATGGGGTCTGGAAAGGGGAGTTAGTCTGGTACAGCTGTTTTCTGGATCTGTGTTGACTGGTCAACATTTCCAAAGACTCCAGACTTGACTTTTTACCCAAGACCGTTGACCCTTGTGTTTGAATTCTCTTTTTACCGTGTGTAGAGCATGGAGACCTCGGTGTGAGTCAAGGCGAGGTGTGTACAAACTCAGTGCAATTTTATGGTTTTGTGACCATGGGCCTCGGTGTGATCCACCCGGAGGGCTCACACCAGTTGCTAACATCAGAACTCAGCACTTTGACCTTAAAACCCTCTCTTTGGACCCAAGTTTCCCAAGTGACATTTTTGTTCATTCACTTTCACAAGCCCCTGGGTATGCTCCACCCCGAGAGCATCACACCGAGGGGTACCTGTTTGTGGGTTTAACACTTGAATCATGGAGTTCAAAGCATCACGGTCTTGATGTAGAAGCTATCGGGGTATCAACACGAGGTTTAGCCTTTTTCTTTCTCAAAAACCACCTCGGTGTAGGAGATACCGAGGGGTTCACACCGAGGGGTCTCTCCACACATAGTCACTGGCACAAACAACAGGTGGCCTCGGTGTAACTTAGGGCGTGGGGTGAACGCGAGGTCCTGCCCTTTTCATTCGCAAAATAGCCTCAGTTTAGGCCATACCGAGGTGTTTACACCAAGGATATGAGCTGTGTTTCTTTAAAACATCAGGCCATCCCTTTTAGACTCCTTTTGGTACCTGTTCCTTCAAGTTACTCAGCTAGAACACCTTCTAAAACCTGAGGCCAAAGCATTCCAAAAACATAAATCAAAAAAAAAATATTTACAAGGTTAAGCTTGGGGTGTCTCCCAAGAGCACTTTGTTTAATGTCACTAAGTTTAACTTTTCATCCTTTCTGAAGAAGAGGTTGGGTCATAAAGAGGAACAGATGAAGCTTCCTCTTTCTTTTTCTGATACCAAGTAGTGCTTGACCCTTTGCCCATTAACAATTAAACCTTTGCCATCTTTTCCTTCAAGCACCAAAGCACCATAACTTCTCAATTGAAGAACCTTGAATGGACCTGACCACCTTGACCTAAGTTTCACAGGAAAAAGCTTAAACATTGAGTTGAATAGGAGGACCAAGTCACCTTCTTTGAACTCTCTCTTCAAAATTTTCTGATCACGTAAAGTCTTGGTCATTTCTTTGTAGATTCTTGCACTCTCATAAGCATCAAGTCTGATGTCTTCTACCTCATGTAGCTGGAGAAGCCTCTTCTCTTGGCAGTCTTGATGTCAGAATTTAGCAGTTTAACAGCCCATAGAGCCTTGTACTCTAGCTCTACAGGTAAGTGGCAGCTCTTCCCATAAAGTAGATTTAAAGGTGAAGTACCTATGGGGTCTTGAAGGCTGTTCTATATGCCCAAAGTGCATCATCAAGCTTTTTGCTCCAATCTTTTCTTGAGGAGCTTACAGTCCTCTCTAAAATAGCTTTGATTTGCCTGTTGGACACTTTCACTTAGCCACTTGTTTGTGGGTGGTAAGAGCTAGCAACTTTATGCTTGACTCCATGCTTTCTAAGCAGCCCCTCCAAGGTCTTGTTTATGAAATGACTACCACCAGCACTTATGACTACTTTTGGTATGTCAAATCTTGGGAAGATGATGCTTTTAAACTGCTTGCACACAACCTTAGAGTCATTTGTAGGACAAGCAATGGCTTCTACCCATTTGGACACATAGTCCATAGCCTCTAGGATATACTGATTCCCATGAGAAGAGATGAATGGCCACATGAATTCAATGCCCTAACAGTCAAATACCTCAACTTCAAAGAAGGGGTTCTGAGGCATTTCATTCCTTTTTGAGATGTTGCCATGTGTTTGGCAAGGGACATAGCTTGAAACTACACTTTGTGCATCTTTGAACATGGATGACCACCAAAACCCTGATTGGAGTACCTTAGCAACAGTCTTGAATGCTCTTAGATGCCCTCCATATGCTGAACCGTGGCACTCTTGTAGAACTGGTTGCACTTCCTCCTCAACCAAGCATCGTCTATACAAATGGTCTTTGTTGAGCACATACAAGTATGGCTCATCCCAGTGGTACCTTTTCACATCCTTGAAATTTTTCTTTCTTTGGTAAGCATTCAACTCTGGTGGCTCCACACCACAAGAAAGATAGTTAACAATGTAAAAAAACCAAGGTAAGCCCCTTTCTCTGATGGTTTTAGATTGCTCAATCTCCCAATAAGACTTGATCACCATGAGTTTCTCTTCAGGCAATGAGTCATTCAAGGGGATTTCAGAATCCACCCATAATCTTGAAAGGTGATCAGCTGCACCATTTTCTATGCCCTTCTTATCTTTGACTTCCATGTCAAACTCTTGTAGGTGAAGCACCCATCTCAAAAGCCTTGGCTTGGCATCTTTCTTGGTCATTAGGTACCTAAGAGCTGCAAGATCTGTGTAGACTACAACCTTTGAGCCAACCAAATAGCTTTTGAATTTATCAAAGGCAAATAGTAAGGCAAACATTTCATTTTCAGTAGTAGCATACTTTTCCTGAGCTGAATCCAAAGTCCTGCTTGCATAGTATATGACATGCAGCTTCTTATCCTTCTTTTGCCCCAAGACAGCTCCCACAGTATAGTCTGATGCATCAGTCATTACTTCAAAAGGCAAAGTCCAATATGGGGCTTGGACTATAGGAGCACTGATGAGAGCTTCCTTGATCCTCTTAAAAGCTTCTTCACACTCACCATCAAACTGAAACTCCACATCTTTACACAGCAACCTAGTCAATGACCTTGCAATCTTATAGAAATCCTTGATGAATCTCCTATAGAACCCTGCATGACCCAAGAAGCTTCTGATCCCTTTCACTGTGTTTGGAGCCTCTAAGTTGACCATCACCTCAACCTTTGATTTGTACACCTCAATGCCTGCCTCTGATACCTTGTGTCCAAGCATTATCCCTTCTTGTACCATGAAGTGGCACTTTTCCCAATTCAGAACAAGGCTTCTTTCGTCACATCTTATTAAGACTTGAGAAAGATTTGACAAACATGAAGAGAATGAGGATCCATAGACTGAGAAGTCATCCATGAATACCTCAACCTTCTCCTCTATTAGATCAGAGAAAATATGCATCATGCACCTTTGAAAGGTAGCTGTTGCATTACAGAAGCCGAAGGGCATTCTCCATTATGCATATGTGCCATATGGACAAGTAAATGTTATTTTCTCTTAATCTTTGGGGTCTATTGGTATCTGAAAGAATCCAAAGTACCCATCAAAAAAACAAGAATAGGGATGATTAGCTAACGTCTCTAACATCTGATCAATGAATGGTAAGGAAAAGTGATCCTTTCTTGAGGCTGCATTTAGCTTCCTATAGTCTATGCATATGCGATGACCAGTTACAGTTCTGGTTGAAATGAGTTCATTCCTATCATTCTTGACCACGGTAATACCACCCTTTTTGGGCACCACATGGACATGAGACACCCATCTTGAGTCAGAGACTGGATAAATAATCCCTGCCTTAAGCAGCTTGAGTATCTCCTTCTTAACCACCTTTTTGAGGTTGGGGTTAAGCCTCCTCTGGTGCTCAATATAGGACATGGATTGGTCCTTTAGGTGTATTCTGTGGGTACAGACATCAGGAGAGATTCCTCTTATATCAGCAAGGGAATAACCAATTACTCTCGTAAACTTTCTTAATTCATTCAACAATGCACTTTACTCATGAGCTAGCAACCTATCATTGATGATGACAGGGTAAGAAGAGTTAGATCCAAGGAATGCATACCTGACCCTGTTGGTACAGGCTTGAGCTCAACAGGGGGCGCTTTGGACTGTTCCAATCTGCTTGAGCTCAACAGGGGTGCACCGGATCTCATCAGCTTGCACTCCTGAACTAGTCCCTGACTTTTTCTTGAACCTTTGATACCCTGAACCTCAAGGCCGCTTGTTTCCAGCTCCAAAAACTCGGTTTCTAAACCCACTTCCTTGTACTGATTTAAAACCAACTTGTAAGCCTCACTTTCCTCACTATTTATAGTGAAGGTAAGCGAACCGGGTCAATCTGGAACAAACCGGGTACTGACCCGGTCTTCTTGGATAGTTGGGTGAGCACCTCGATGTGTGAAGGGTCCAAGACCGAGGGGTTGATGCCGAGGAATTCTTGTAATCTGGGTTGAAATGAAGAACATGTCAAGAACACGCATGACACCTTGGCTTTGATCCATCTTTGAATATGACCGTTGGGGAAGACTTGTTCTTATATGGGTTCAGGTAAGAGGACCTCGACATGAGTCATACCGGAGGGTCAGGTTGAGGTCTGGAGCATTTCTTTCGGACAAAGCACCTCGACATAGAACAAGCCATGGGGTTTGATATCGTGTCAACTGCGTGAGGGAACAAGTTTTACCCTTAACAAAAAAAATAAAAGCCGCAAGTGCACAGATAATCAGTTGTAGTATTTAGGGATCGAATCCACAGAGATTTGTGTGCCTGGTATTCTTCTACGGTTTCTAACTTTATGTCTAGACTAGATTAGTTTTGAAGGTTGGTTGTTTATCACGAATTAAACTAAAACAAAAGAAAGCAAATAAATCTATCCTAGAAAGCAAGTAGAAAAATCGAATGGAAAGCAAGTAAAGCAAGTAAAATATCGAAGTAAGGCAATTGAAATGCAGATCTAAATAAACAAGTATAAATCAATTGGTTTGTAAACTATGGCTAAAAACGCTGAGCTTTTGGGAACTCTAAAGGATGATAATCGGTTTTTACATTAGGGTAGATAGATCGGGATTGACGGATATCGATATATAGGGTTCTAGAGCTAGAGTACGGCAGTATGACTACGTCACTGTCGTGATCATAACCAACTGTTTCTCGCAACCTTGACCAGTACGTTTCCACTCTGGCCCTGGAAGGGAGAGAACACAAGAGCTGCACAAGACTCGTCAATACTCACGATCTCGCCGCAGGTAGGTTTCCACTCCTACGGAAAAATCGCCTGTTTCATTCTATGGCTGATACTTAATGAAAACTTTCGCAACACTAACTATCTAGATCAGATACTAGGTGATCAATCAAGCATACATGCAATAAGAACAAGAATAAATAGAGAACAAAGTTGAAATCCCAGATCTATAAACCTAGATGTCTTAATCGATTATGAGAGCCCCTTTCGGACCCTAAGCCCAACTCGGGATCTACTCAGACATGGCTGAGATCGACATCATCATTGGTTTTAATAAAAGTAATCAAAAACAGTAAAGAAAAGGGATGAAGAAAGCTTCTCTATTGAAGAACTCGGACTTGAACAATCTTCTACAAAAATCGCATAAAAACGGCTAAAGGAAAAAGGATTTCTGTAAAGTATCAAGGGTTTTTCTCTAAAAATGACCTAAATGACAAGTATTTATAGTCTTCAATACTCCATGGTTCCAGAATTGAGGCTGAGAATAACTTTGGGCTTCAGAAATATGGGCTTTAGTTCGGATTTTGACGGCCGCGGTCGGGAGTGACGTGACCGCGGGGAATAGGTGGTTGGCCGCGGTCGGGAGGCTTGTGACCGCGGGAAATGGGCTGTTGGCCGCGGTCGCATGACTTGCTGGCCATCTTTGAGTGGCTCCGGGGCTAATGGAATATCTTGAGATCCAACCGTTGGTATGTCTCCAAACCAAGTTAATTTGAAATCTGGTTGATTCTTCTATAAGTTGTCCAATTTTGAGGGTGATCAGACGGTGAGAAGGTCTTCGTCTCTCCATGAGAGTTCTGACGGTCTGCATTTATCCAAAAGAGCCTTTTTGTTCCAATTTGTGCCTCTTTATCCCAAATTACCTGAAAAGTCTTTTAAAATCCGAAAACATAGAAATCCTTTGAAAACCTTTGGAAATGGAGTAAAAACACCTGTAAAAGATATTAAAGTGATCCATAAAAATGGTCAAAATCCGGTGTTATCAACTCCCCCAGACTTAGTCTTTTGTTTGTCCTCAAACAAAACAAAGGCTAAATCTCGGCGAGAGGTTTGAAAACGCAGGAACTAAACAAAATCTCAAAGACCAAACTTCTAGACCAATATCAATCAGTATGCATCAATCGGGAATAGCATAGAAAATTCTCACTAGCAATACAGGCATAACTAGTCCGTTAATCCGTCATGCGGAAATCTATGCACTAGGATCTAACTTCCAGTCAACTAGCTCTTAACATTCATTAAAAATCTCGGTGGTTCTCATCAAAGAAAGTCTAGGCTAGGTGTCAAAAAGGTTATTCTAGGGGTAAGACTTACAGTGTTTACGGGTTACCTGAAGATCTGGAGAATGCAAGATATTATGCAAAACCGCAAGAGGGAGTGAAGCTGTTGGTATCCACAGTTTTCAGTCACTTTCTTCTTGCCATAGATTCCTGGTCTTCTTCCTCAGGTTCTCTCCTAACTCCCCCAGACTTAGATTTTTGTAAATCTTTCAAAAACATAGCTATATAAACGCTTAGTAGATGCTTCTTGCTCCACAAATTTCGACAATCTAAGACTCATTAGGCTTTTTGTTTCCCTCTTTCTTTTCATTGGTTATTTTTTTTTTATTTATTTTTTTTTAGAAGAGAGGGAACACCTTTAGATATAGAGTCTTAGAGAGCACGAAATTATCAGTTAAATTCTGTCTTGTAAAGCTTCATGAGGTTTCTGATACTCATCCTTCCCAATTCCTTTCAGTCTCCTTTGTGAGTGACTGAAAACTGCGTCGCTCCTCTTCTCTCCGACGTTTTTGCACATATCTGCTGATATAAACTAAAGAGAGAATGCATGAAAATTGAAAACAGGGGTTTTGGGTTTAGGGTATGGTACCAGATAAAGATAAACTGGTCATCTAGGATAACAAAGAGTGGTCAAAGTGAGGGTAAAAGACGTCCTAGATGTGTATGTCGATGCCTGCCTAAAATCAATGATGAGAAAATTAGATGTCAATATTAAGGTCAAATAAAATGAGCTAGTATATCCTGTCAGAAAGAATCTCCATGAATAGAAGTCCTCTGGTGGGAGTTCGTAGTGCAAGTACTCTAGCTACCGCCTAGTCTAGTGATAACCACAAATGAGCTATCATGCATAGTGTAGAAGCGTGCAGGTCTAAATCATCATAGTTTTGTGTCAAACATTCCTGAAAAATACTTAATGTCGAATAGGTTACATATTAAAATTTAAAAAGTGCTTGAAATTTGAAAGCAAAAGCAAGAAAATGATTAGTACGGATAGACATACTCCCCCAGACTTAAATCACAGTGTCCCCAGTGTGAAAAAGTTGGTGAGAAAATGGTGAATTAAAGCGAAATAAAATAAGATAAAAGAAAAGAAAATGATGATAGAACCGTGATGGCAGTGAAGTGCTGATCAATCACTCATCCTCCGATATGTCTGCTGCGAACTGGTGCTGCTCCTGTAGGAAGGTGACAACGCGCTCAAAGCGTCGTCCCTGTCTCTCATCTCTGCGCTCCAAATCAGAATGTGTGTGCGATGATGTAGATGATGTGGTGTGGCCGGTCGAAATAGATAGCTGAAAGTGAGCACCGGCCGCAGCTGCATTGCGTTTTGCCTTGGCCACTATGTATTGGCCAATGGTGAATGGTAGACGAGGTACAGATGGCAGAAAATCATCGGGTTCCGGAGTTCATCGCGGACGTCCTCCATTACACAATCTCGGGACTGATGGTGAAGGCAAGCTGACTCGGTGCTCCTCAGTGCCAGTGCAATACTTGTAACCAAACCTGTCTGGATCGAAAGCGGCACGAGAGATAGTGTGATCACGAGAGAGATAAAGTAGGTCATACCAGACATCGGGGAGTGGATCATCAGACGAGAAATCGAATCCTACAGCCTGTAGTATCGCTGTAATAGCACTCCCGTAAGCTGGAGTAGCGTCCTCGCAACCATGTAAATCATGCTTCATCTTTACCATGTTCTGTGCTATGATCCAGGCAAAGCAGGCAAGTCCTGGGTCGTCCATAAATGGCATCTGAAGTGTAATGAGCTCGGTCTTCAAAACACATCCCATGTTGGCTCTAGAGAAAATCGTGTGTGCTAAGAGTTTGTGCACAACTCTCGCTGCTGGAGGAGTAAGAAGGGCTGACTTGGATCTCCCGCTATCATAGACTCCATGACCCATCTCTCTCCACAAGTTAAAATCGGGTTC